GACGGATAGTCGACGTACACCTATTTTACCGCAAATTTCTCGTCGGGAGAAAGTAATACATTTCTTCAAAGAGTGGAAAAATTGTCACCATCAAGTTTAAAACACGGCATGTATTAAAAAAATTCACTTTCAATTGAAAATGTGGGAATTAATGTCAACAAAGAGACAAAAGAATGATTTGTCATTTATTATTTTGTATTAGTGTTTTTTTTTCAGATAATATTCGGCTTTTTTTAAAACAAAGTTACAACACATGAAATTGGTCGTGCCGTGTTTTAAACTTGATGATGACAATTTTTTTAGATGAATATTCAAATCTTGGAAGATTTGCCGAAATGACTTCGGGTAGGGCGATTTCAATTGTAGATTTTATGTAGTTTAATGTAGTGTTTTTACTTTTTTTATGTAGGAACAATTTTTTGAGTAATCGGCTATCGAAAAACCGCTCCAAAATGGGGATACTCAAATCTTGGTCAAATAACGCATTTTCTATGAATCAAATGTTTTTTCGAATGGTTTCAAAAAATTGTAGATAAATTGTAGAATTCAAATCAGTCGTCCGATTCTTGATGTTTTTAACAACTTATTTGAAAACAGCAGTGTTTTTGTTTGTAGGAAGAAAAAATGCTCCAAAACTGGCTCATACTGTTTTATTAATTGTAGTAACCCAGAATTATTTGTAGTGACCTAAAAATAATTGTAGAAGCACTATGGTTATTGTAGTGGTCAGAATATAATTATATTCTCATATGTGAATATAATTATAATTGGAGTGACTCAAAAAAAATTCAGTGCATTTTTTTCACTCTTATGTTTTAGGCATTTTGGGGTGGCGGTCATAACGCCCCGGACGGACAGCATGCTTCTGTGGAGTATGCTGTCCGTCCGGGGCGTTATGGCCGCTATTCACATTTTGCATGCAAAAAGTCGAAATAACTGTGATTTTCTTTTCTAAATTGTGTTTATGAATGAAATAGTGATTTTGTATGAAATTGGATAAACAATAAATAAAATCTTCATCAGAACCGTGCGAGAAGTTATAAGTATCACCAACCAGATGGCGACGTCGAAAACATTCAATTTAGTACATCTTTCAAAAAGCACGAAAAGGTTTGAGGTTCTTTTAAAAAAAATCGTAGGTTTTGTTTCGCTAGAACAGTGTTCTAAAATGTATTCTTTTCAATAACTTCATACTTCCATTCTGATTAAACAGCAAAGTTTTATAGCGAAAACAAACCTACGATTTTTTAAAAATTTGGCTAAATATAAGTAGAAAAGGTATTTCAAGAAATATGTTTTCTATTTTTTTTAAAACTATTTTTCATTTGGTTTTAGTTAACTTTATTTTTTTATTTTTCAATCAGAAGCCTACGTCATCCGCAACGTAAAGTGGCACAAGCTTGTACCATTTTTCGCATACACACGCGTATGAACGCGACGATTAGATGCGGAAAATGGGACATTCTTGTGCCACTTTGCGTTACGACTGACTGTAGTTGACCGGGCAACCGCTTTGACGTGGCGCTGTCAACAATGTTGCCCCATTTATTCACACTTTGGGGATGACTGAGATTATGCTGATTGGTCTGTAATCGGAAATTGATTGGTAGCTTGTTACTTTATTAAGAGGTTTAATTATGACTTTATTCCAATCAGCTGGATATACACTATGTGAAATACAAAAATTTAAAATGTAAACAATATGCTGTACTATACAAGGACTTCAGTAAAGCATTCGACAGAGTTTACTACAAAAGATTGATTCTGAAACTCAGATCGTTCAACCTGCCACCTGCCAGACAATCTTCTTGCTTACATCGAGTCATACCTGTCAAACAGAACGCAATTCGTTAAGTATGGGAGCAGCGAGTCTAACGAATTCAACGTGTCATCTGGCGCACCACAAGGTAGTCCTATTCTTTTGGGTTGGGATGGGTTGGGTTTGGTTTCTTATTGTTTAGTAATTTATTTTTATCTCGGACCCACACTGTTCCTATTGTTCATCAACGACATAGTAGATGGAATGGACGACGTGTTCATTTCCTTCTTCGCTAATGATGTGAAGATCGCCAAAGTCATCCACTCGAGCACGGATGCGGAAGTGCTACAGCGGGCCATCGACACACTGAAGGTTTGGTGCGACGTAAACAATTTGAACTTGAACCTTGACAAATGTGCCGTCAAACCGACGTGCAAACGCTCAAAACATTGTACTATGCATTGGTTCAGTCTCACCTCGAGTACTGCAACGTTGTATGGCTACCGACTTATGCCGTACACATCGACAAAATTGGGAGTCAATCGTTGGCCAACGGATACAGTACCATTGACTACAACAAGCGACTTGAGGCGTTGAACATGACATCGTTGGAGCGTAGGAGAGTGAATCAGGTTTCGGAAGAAGAGCTGTCAATTTCTCCCATTTACGATACTAGCGCCACTGAGGTATATAGCAAATCAATGTAAAGTGGGGTTTTTTTCTAACTAAAATACGCGGCATTTTTGAAATTTCGTACTATTTCCGCACCTTGGAGTGAATACATCAATTGTATTCATGTACGACATCGTGAATGGGATCACAAACTGTCCCAATGTACGCAACGATATCGCAATTGAAGAGTAATCATATGACAAACAAACCAGAGCTCAAGTGCCTCGAATGTGCAAATTTGCAAACAAAGTGGCTGATCAATTCATTAACTCAATCATCCGTACAAACTTCATCTCGTCGGTACGCAGCGAAAAAAGCTAAAAAGAACGAGGAGAACGGTTGCATTCTTGACAACTTTGACATTTTGATGTACACACACATATAAAAACGTATGGCGGATTGGAAAACGTCAGCAATGAACTAAACTATTACTTGGTGTAGCAAGTTCATTGAATGTGTGAACGGGTGGCAATATTCGATGACTTTTAAATCATATGAAAAACCACACAAGTGTTGACAGTGCAAACTCACGATTTTTTCGAAATATTTCTTTGAAAAACAAATCGTGGATGAAGCCTAGGCTTTGCAGAGCCCGAATATCAACAATAAAAGAAAATAAATGAATATAATTCCCAAACAAATAATGTATTTAAAATTTATGGCGTTTCCAATCTCACCACTGTTCACCACAATCAGTCAAAGCATTAATGTGAATGACGCATGACAAAGTGACTTTGACTGTCATTTGAACGGTTCACGTTCAAAAATATTGTAATATTCTTGTTCATGTTCGTTCGCGTTCAGTTCAAATTGTTCAAAATGAGAAAAATGATGTTTATGTTCGTTCGAGTTCATGTTCGCTGAACTCTACGATGTTCACGTTCGGTTCAGTTCGTTCAAAATTTGTTCATAAACAGTGATGCTGCAAAGTACTTGGAAAAAATGCGCTAATATTTTGTCTCTTTCCTTCACTTACTTTATCATTCATACTGTTTGAATTGCGACATGCGTTCGTGAATGAACATCACAAGCACGGTGAACTCTTCTTAATCAATTGAATCGAATTCAAACAGTCGCCGTGTTGAGTTTTCGTATACAGTCAGAGTACAGAGTTTTATTCAAGTCGTCTTTTTCGCATTCGTATTTTGTCCACTCCAGATATGCATCAAATACATCGACTTTTGCGAACATCGGATTCAGCTTAAAATTAGCCTCAGAGTTTCATTGTCATAGTGCTTCAGTGCATTGCTATTAATATAGCATAGATTTTCCTTTGGCCTTTGATAACATGCCCCATGCATCGACATTCATATACATCGTATTTGTCGACCAAACGAACAAAAATTTCAATATTTTCCATGGTCAAAGTCCATTCGCTCTGATAAAAATTAACCGTAGTAAATTATTGAATACATCCTCAATTCTAACTTCGTTTCCCTCTTCCGAATTGGAACTCGAAATGAACGTTGGCTAATTGTTCGTTGAGATACATAATGCTGTATCAAGTTCCATTAGTATTGGTCCGAATGTAGCAGAAAAAACAGTATTTAATCTTAAATATACATTAGAATTGTAGAATATTAAAACATCAAATACTATTTCAAAATTTCAAAGCGATTGTTATATGCGGTACTCAAAAAAATGAGGTGTTGAATTGGGACGTTGTCAAGTAGATTGGATACAGTATGCAAAAGGAGCGCGAATCGACAGAGTTCAATGTTTTTGTTTTTTTGCTATGGTGAGCGAAACATAATTGACACAACGAAACAGAAAGCGAGAGATGTGCACGATATTTACAATAGCATCGAATGAACGATACATAAAAAGAACCCGTTAAATGTGTGTGCGTGGCATTCACAAAATTTGTTACGTTTCATGGGTGCGTTATGAACAAAAAATACGGGCGGCGTGACAAGCGGCACTCAATGTGCAATATGATGCTGGCATACAAAGCCAATATTCTGTCAACATATCTGCTTATATTATTATGTTGTGTGTATTGGTGTGAATTTTTGCGGATCAAAAATGGTCCGCATTACAAATTTAATGTAGACAACAGAAAAACATTTATGAAAATAATCGTATTGACACTATCCAAGTGTTTATATTGAGGGCGTATTTCCAATTTTTCTGGATACTTTCCAAACACAGCATCAAAAGTAACACTCCCTCAGTCTATTTATAATTCGCGCGCAAATTTCGACTGATAAAATGTCAAATGAGAATTTGAGCAAATTTACTGTCAAACTGTTCCACATAAAATCACAATCATAGCTAATTATGCGTTCTCTAATTCACATTGGAAACGAAACGCATCGTGACAGGTTCAAGCGACAAATATAAACGATCTGTACTTTATAGCCGAAACATTTTTCAACGGAAAATTAATTACATTTCCAAATTTCGTAATAGTATCTCGCAATGGATTTTAATGACAGATTGCAAAATTCAAAACAATTTGACTGTTCATTGTTGAAGAAAGCGATAATGTTCACGAGTAGTTTTTTCTTCTTCATTGGGAAAATGGTTGAACGTTTGCAGTCGGCTGTTATTGTTTATCACATCGCTGCTCTTTATTGACTACAAAATGACTCCTTTTTCCGTTCAGTGAAATAAAAAAATCAAAAGTCTTTGGTTTTAACTAAATTCATTTAATTCTTAATTTCAAAAAAACGTTATCGCATGCATTTCGATACGTGTGACGTCCCATCATCAGCAGAGCGACTAAATGACTAAATAAAATCAATACAAAACAGTATTTCGTTTACATGTAAGAGTATCGGTGAGGCGAGATAAACAGTTTACAAGAAAGTAAGAGAGAGATCGAAGTAAAAACAAAACAAAACAAATATTGGGTCTGGGAATTAGTTTTGTCGATTTTTTTAAATTTTCAAACATTTATTTGAATACCAAAATGAAATTACATTTCAATCAAAATATTGTCCATCGGAAGCGATGACCTTCTGCCACAATGTGGGCAATTGACGGATGCCTGCCTTAAAAAATTCCTCATCTTTTGAGGCTATAAATGCATCGAGCCAATTTTGGATTTCTTCAACTGAAGAGAACCGCTCTCCGTCCATATGGTTTTGCATCGATCGAAACAAATGGTAGTCGGAAGGAGCCAGGTCTGGGCTATACGGGGCGTGAGCCAAAACTTCCCATCCGCTATTTTCCAAGTAGTTTTTGACCGATTTCTCAATGTGTGGCCGAGCATTGTCATTTAGGAAAATCAATGTCTCTTTTCTGGTCTCCCATTTCGTGCGTTTTTCTTTGATTGCTTGTTTCAAACGTATCAATTGTTGTCGGTAGAAAGGCCCATCGATGGTTTGACCACTTCTCAGCAGCTCATAATACACCACTCCCTCCTCATCCCACCAAATAGACAGCATTACCTTGTCGCCGTGAATTTCTTGTTTTGGCTGTGATGTTGCTGGTTGGCCGGGCTTAACATACGATGCTTTGCGCTTGGGGTTATCGTAATGAATCCATTTTTCGTCACCAGTGACAATTCGATACAGAAAACCTCTTTTTTTGTGCCTTGCGAGCAGCATTTCGCAAGTCACTAAACGCCTTTCAGCTTGCGCTGGCGTCAATTCATGTGGTACCCAATTTGACAACTTGCGAATGAAACCAAGGGCCCTTAAACGATATCCAACAGTGCTTCGGTCAACATTCAATGCTCTGGCAAGCTCATCTTGAGTTTGACTCGAATCTTCATCGAGCAATGCCTCCAATTCCGCATCTTCAAACTTTTTTGGCTGGCCGGGACGTTCCTTGTCTTCCGTGCTAAAATCACCACTTTTGAACCGTGAAAACCACCGTTCACATGTACGTTCCGATGGAGCATGCTCACCATAGGCTTCCACCAACATTCGATGCGCTTCAGCCGCAGTTTTCTTCAAATGAAAGCAAAAAATTAATGCTTGCGGGAAATGTTGCTTTTTCGGTACAAAATTTGACATATTTAAGGCGCAAAAAAAAATGTTTATCCAAACTTCGATGAAATGATAGATGATGATTTTTGTAGTTTGACACTAGACCACTCATGTGAAAAAGAAAAAAGTATTGCCCGATACAACCATGCAAAGTTACGCCATCTTTTGAAAAATCGACACGATTAATTCCCAGACCCAATACAAAGAAATTAGCTATTTTGCGAATTTGAACAAGTGAGATTCAATGTTGCCGACGTCGTCTGCGTTCATGAGGTGTTGTTTATGCTTGTGTATGTATAACGACTCGTAAGCATCAATTTTTCTGAAGTCGGTGACATTCTTCAAAAGTGTGCAGCTCTCTTCGAAAGAGCCGATTTGATGCGGTGCGTCGAAATTGATATCGTAGACGTGTTTGGCTACTGAAGATTGCATGTGTTTGTGCTTAACGCAGTATTCGTGCTCTTTGAACCTGGTGCCTTGCGCTCTCGTTGTTTCTCCGATGTATTGTTTGTTGCATATTTTGCACGTAATACAATAAATGCCGGTCTTTTGTTTTATTGGTATCGCGTCTTTTGTTGTGCCGAGCAATTTTGACAGCTTGTTGTTATTGCTGTACACTAATCTCATTCCTTCTTTTTCAAATGTGTGAACGAGTTTGTTGCTGATTTTCGGCACATAGTTGAACGCTACATATGTTGTGTTTTCCTTAATCGAATTTCGGCTTTGGCTGAATAGTGTTGACATATTCGCTCGATGGATTTTGTCAGAATGTTTTTTGACTAATTTTTCGATCATGGATTTTTTGTAGCCGTTTGTTTCAGCTAATTTCAGTATGAAATTGTATTCTTTCTGGAAATTGCTTAACGATAACGGCAACACACACATACGATGAATCATGGCATAATTTAAGGAATTTCGATTTTCGAGTATTGACAACTGCCATTTGATCTGGGGCGATTAAAGGTTCAAATATCCGAATACATGATGAAGCTTGGAATATCTAGTCTTAGTTTTAGTATATCAGACCGATGGATTTAATTGCCAAGTATTGGAAATTGCAATGGGTTTGTGGGCAGTCAGGATTACAACAACAACAACCTACTGCCCACAAACCCA